TCATAATTCCCTGGCCTTCGCTACCTTGCAAAACCTACGATCATAAACACACCACTCGCCAAATCTAACCGCCTCTCTTCGACTAAGCCGTTCGTAGGTTACACGACAAATCCGTTTGAGAAGCGACCGAAACACCGACGCCGGTTCGATGGTGTCAATATCAATAGCATACAAGTGTTACATAGAGGCTTTTTTTAAACTTGCAGATTATGTACTCTAAAACTTTATCATAACAAAGTGCGATTAATTATATTAAGTTTAATTGTTGTTTATACCAATTTTACTTGATCGTAATTGTATAATTATTTAATTGCAATTAAATTTTCGGTACCCCTGCAACCGTATAAATAATTCCTTAACCTTATTTTATTATGTTATAAATCATTTCCGATAAATTTCCAAATACGTACTGTCATTCAGAATTGCCTAATCTGTCATTCAGATTTGCCTAAACTGTCATTCAGATTTTCCTAAACTGTCATTCAGATTTGCCTAAACTGTCATTCAGATTTGCCTAAACTGTTCTTGTTAAATCTGTTAAATTTTTCGATTAACCAATTCTCGGTTCGTGTACTTGCAGAACAATATTAAAAATAGTAAAGCGTATATTTATGCAAAAGCTTGAGAATGCACTTAGAAGGTATTACATTTAAGAGAATTATATTTAGGAAATTTGATTCTATTTTTAATTTCAGTATAATCTTTAGACGCTAAGAATGCCATTGAATCTTTAAATTGTATAAAAAGCATCAAATTATTCCTTTATTTCTGCATTGAGTTTGTTTTTTAACAATTTCACTCAATATGATACCCAAATTTTATTTCGTCTTTATTATCACGTTGATTTTTATTTCAACTTTTGCTCAAAGTAAATTTTTTAATTTTTTTTTTTTTTTTTAGATGTTAAGGCAGTTTGGAGTTGATTCTCGTTTAACGTTATTCCCTTCTCCATCTCTTAATACCAAATTAATCAAATAAAAGTAACAAATTGATCGATATAATGATTGGCATGGTGTTTGAAGTTTGTGGATTACATTCTTTGATTTATTCTTTGATTATTCGGTACACCTCTTCGAAAAAAATAACGCTAAACGAAGTTTTAACTTCAAATGGCCTAATTTTGGATATCAGTTAGCTTTATGATTAAATGTTCCAGTAAACATGGGATGCAAAAAGAATTCTTTTCTTTTATGCATTAAAAATTAGAAATACCATTAATTGTTTAGCAAAACGTGTGTTTACTGCACCTAGGGATTGAAGTCGCCTAATATTTTTCCTATCGTTTAATCTTTTAACCATTTTAACCGTTAATTCAGCCGGCATTAAGTTAATTTTGGTCCATGACTAGCATGATTCAGCCAAAACCTATGGACCAATTTTAATGCACCAAATTAGTGTCTGAAATTCGATTTATTAATTTAATTGAGCATAGATATCTATATACAAATTTCACAAATTTCATTTGCGGAACCGCGGAAACTTACCGCAACTCAATTTCAGTCACTGTTGCATGGCAACCGATATCCAAACCTCTTCTTTCAGTTTAATTCTATTGTAATATATTACTCCAATGCTAACCAAGTTTTAAATTTATTAAACGTATGTTCTTTATGTATTATAGGTTGTAAGTATATTTTTATTGTTTTATAAGCATGACTTTTTTTTATTTAATGACAAAACAAATAAATATATATATATTGTAAATTATCAGTGTGTAAGTATAAAAAAAAATTGATAATTGTCGTAGTTGAAGCTGGAAATAGGTGTCTTTATTTAAAATATAAACTCTACTAAAACTTATAAAAAACCTACTTATAACACTCTTATTATAAACTTTAACCTAAATTAAATTTCCAGTTTCAATCACGACAATAATTATCCAAATTACATAATTTTATCCTAAAAAAAATTAATTTTAAAAAATAAATTTTATTCTCATTTTATAATTCCCAGTGCGTAAGTATTAAATTTAATATCTCCTATCAGAGTATATGATTGCATTTATTTTTCATAAGGTAATTTTATCTTTAACAAAATTTTCTTATATAAAAGAGGATCGAGCAATTGAAAGACATAGAGCAGCAAGATTAGCTCTTCAAAGAAGGACTCCAGATGATAATCTTGACAGACGTTCAGCATTTTTAAAAGATTATTATTACTATAATACATACCATAAAAGGTAAACGCATATAGGTGGTGTGATGTATTTATTTAAGCTTATTAATGTTAATCGTTATATATTACGTATAATTGTATCTAGAATTAATAATGAAAATATTGAAGTAAACCCTCGAAATGCTCCGAAAGAAAATCCAAGTATAAAATGTTCCATGTTTATAATTTATTTATGATTGTAAGAATATTATTAATTCAGTAACATGCTTTTCTATTAGAAATATGTATTATTGGTGCTGGAATGACTGGTATGTTTTTTTAATTAATATATATGTTACTGTTATGTATATGTATAATGAAACATATTTAATAAAGTTAATCTTGTATGTGTATTATCAGGCTTGTTTTCAGCCCTTCTTCTGAAAAAAGCAGGTATCGATGATATCACTATTCTTGAATATCAAGATCGTATTGGTGGACGTGTCCATACCCATTATTTTACTGATGATCCTGACGATGAAAGACGTTTATACGGTGAACTTGGAGCAATGAGATTACCTTTTGTCCAAGATCGACCGGATCTTAGTCCACATCAACTTGTCTTTGATACAATTGATTATTTGAATGAATATAATAAGAATAATGATCCAGATAAAGAACTAAAACTTATTCCTTTTATTATAAGTAATCCAAAGTTAGTAGAATAGTTTTTTAAAATTATAATCAACTTTCACTATGAATATTATTAATAATTTTCCTTATACACATAAACGTTAATACAATAGTGCCTTATATTACTTTAACAATAAAAAAGCTCCATCCGGTGAAATAATGACTAACAATTACTCCGAAAGCATTGTTGACGTAAAACAATTGGGATTACCCGATAGCATTCCAAATCATTATCTTAAACTTTGGAGTGATGCAATAAAACCTTTCCTTGATGAATTGGATGCAAATTTCACAAATGGTCTTATAAATTTAAAACGTTATGATAGTCATACTGCTTATTCTTATTTAAAAGAAATCTATCTTCCCAAAGTATTACCAAACAAATCCGCTGATTATGAAGAAATTATTAGTGCTATTGAATTGCAGGAAGTAGGAACGGGTATGTAATTATGTAATTCTTCCTTCTAGTTAATTTTATCAATTGTTAATTAATTATGATAAATATATTGTATTCATATACATAGGTGAATTTTATCAGTTTGGTTTTGTAAATGCTGTTATTGATTCATATACTTTTGGAAGTCCTAATTATGAGTTAAGTTGGAGAACCATTGATAAAGGAATGCAACGGTTACCTAATGCTTTCCTGCCAATGATTAAAAAAGAAAATATTAATCTGAAATATAACAGTGAAGTTTATAAATTGAAAAAAACAAGAGATGATAAAGTTAAAGTGTATTGGAAGAATAACGAAAAACATGTCTCTCAAACTTTTGATAGAGTAATTGTCACTGTTCCATTAGGTCTTGTCCGTCATTGGGATTTACCTTTAAGTAAGTATTTTATAATTATCATTATTAAAAACTATGAATTAAAAATATTTATTATTATTATTATTATTATTATTTTAATAGAATTATCGTATGGAAAACGAAGTGCAATTCGTGAATTGGATTATGGATTTGCAGCAAAAATATTCCTTCAATTCAAATCACGTTTTTGGGAAAAATCTCCCAATGAAACTGGTGCTAATCCTACAACCTCTAATGTTGGAATTGTTGGTGGTATTACTTACACTGACCTTCCTATTCGTGTTTTGGTTTATCCTTCAATATATCAAAATATATCTGCCGATAAACCTGGTGTTCTTTTAGCATCTTATACATGGGATAATGATGCGATAAAATATGGTCAATTTAGTGAGGAAGAAAAGTTTGAACTAGCATTAAAAGATTTAGCAACTATTCATGGTGACATTGTATATAAAGAATGGGTTCCAGGTAAAGAGAATAATAAGGCACAATATTGGGCAAATGATAGAACTTCTGGTGGTGCTTACGCACAATTTGGTCCCACACAACTAGAATCATTAATGGGCGCCATGATGAGACCGGAGGAATCTATTCATTGGGCTGGAGAACACACTGACATACACTGTGCTTGGATTGTTGGTTCTTTAAACTCTGCAGTTAGAGTAGTCAAAGAAATACTGTTTGCAAATTTAATGGGTGATAAATGGAATGAATTAAAGAATTTGAGATTATTAAAATATTGGAATGGAAATATTGAAGCTTTCAAAGGTTATTGAGATATATCTTTGTATATTGTATACTGTTAGTTAAAAAAAATAATAATATTGGTCAACCTTTTTAAAATTATTGTAATACTTTGAAACACAAAATAGATTAGATGTAATTTTTAAAGACGATTTCTATTCATACATTAGTGTATAAAACATAAGTTTAGATATAACTTCAAATTTTACCAATAAAATAGCCTTTGGGGCTCTAAAAAATCTCCGTGAAATTTTTAGCATCGAAAATTGTCGTAATCGATGCAAAAAAAACCATGCTTTGACTTCTAAACAAAACTTTTCAGCGTCAAATTTTACATCTATCTAAACTCTTTTAATCTAACCTAAAGCTAACCCTAACCCCTAACATTAAATTTATTTACTTGCAATAAAAATTTTATAATATCGGGGAATTTTTAAATCTAAACCGCGACGCAATCATCAAGTTACCTCCATTTAATGTTAAATGGACTTATCTCGATGGTACTTGGCATAAGTGATTCCTTCAAGAAGCGTGTAAACGGAATCCTGCGTCAGTCAATACGCTAAAGGAAAGAATATTAATTTTTTTTTTATAATTAGCGGTAGGGGTCTCCTGACACGTCTCTACTTGAATCCGGAGGTTTTCAGCGCTCTCTCTGTCCCAAGTGATGGTGGGAAACTCCTTGCATGTCTTTACTTGCATTGTAGACCGATCCCCATCAATCGCGACCCGCTGTTTTTTTTGTTGTTGAAGCTTGTGCTTATTTTGATGCGAGTGTTGAATAAATAATTCTTAATGTGAAAAATTGTGATTGTGCTTAACTACACAATAGATTAAATCCGAACAAAATATGAAGTATTAACAGAAGGAGGTTAGTTAAGCCGATTTCTTGTTGTTTTTATTTTATTATAATTAATTTTGTAAACATGCAAACAGCTGTCGGTAAAACGTACACACATCTCCGGTAGCCTCGACCTTCTAAACGATGCTGGGTATTATAATACGTAGAGATTACGCGATCAAGGGTTTAATGAAGACGAGGTGAGATTAAGAACTGGCGCGACTTACTACATACATTACTCTTACACTATCTTTGATTTAACTTAGAAAGGAAACTCCTCTGGAAAGGCTCTTAGAAAGAGGAAGAAGGTTTGTTATACTGAAGAAACGGAGACAGATTCTGATTACTCAGGCTACTCTGATTATTAATGGAAGGTAGCTAATACCAGCATGTTTCCGTTACTTCGAAACTTTATTATTAACTTTTTTTTTTGAAACAGCCAAATAAAAAATCATCCCATATCGAGAAGTCGAAGAATTGTACCTTGCAATGGATCCTAATTATATATGGACACTCGAAAGTAACTGTAAAGTGGAAACGGTCATTTACGAATTCACTAAAGTTTACGTGAAGAATTATATCTTCATTCTTTTATAATCAATGATATCGATGTTGACGCCAAATTATTAGTTTCACGTGATGAATGGGAAATTTGATAGACTAAAGCTTGATCCTTGCCACAATAAGTTATTGAAAAAATATACTGTCAAAAATTAAGATCGCTTCTTTTTGAATCTTCTGCGCCTGACGGCAAAGAATACGATCGGAACGTTCATTTCGATTTGGATTATATAGTGCCAGCACTATATAGGATAACTTTCTTCTGATTGGTCAATCACTTACAATTGTATTTATATGTTTTTAAGAAAGTAAACAAGTAAAATAAAAATCAAACTTATCGCTATCTTCAAAGTGCCAACAGTCACTATGCAAAATAATCCCAAATGATCCTGTATCTAGAGGTACCTTACCTAGAAGGTGAAATTTCTACGTAGGTTGTGACTATAGGCTATATGTAATTACTAAATCGTTAAATACAGCTGAGTTATTTAAAGAAAACTAACAGTACAACCGCTTTTTTTTTTTAACAATAGATAAGCGATTTTCAAGCTATGTTAAAGAGGTTTAAAGCATAAAGAATGTTAATAAAGTTAGTGATAAGAGTGGTTAAAACTTTATATATATAGAGATTAATGAGTCTTATCAAAACGAGCTTTGGGTATAATAAACGATAGATCCTCAAATACTATATTAGTTCGGTATAAAAGGCGTAATGGAAATTTAAAAAATACATATATTGACCTGTTTTTTTCTTTATTCTTTTGTTAAAGTGAGAAACTAATTAAGTTTACGAATATGGTGTAATTTAATTGGTTGATTGTCACATGCTTCACAATTAGCCAATGATAACGTGCTATTCAATTTCATGTGATGACCAATCACGAGAAAGTTATCCTATATGCCAGCACTATGAAAAATTAGTTGCCGTTGAGGCGCATATGATAAAAGCAATCATATTGAATCATATGATAGAATGATTACGTTTCTTACAAATTAACATTTCAAGAAACTTACACAAATTACGGTAATTTTCCCAACCCTAATTTCACTTAATGGGCGGTCACGATTTAATTAGTAAAAATTCGCCTAAATTTTTGATCATTGCCGTTGGTCAATCAAAATAGTGAATTTCCACGTATTTTTTGCACGTCCTTGGTTAAAGCTTTCAACTGGCCCAATTATTGTAAGATGATTTCAAATATCATTATTATCACGCATGTTATGTTTATTTTTAAAAAGAGTGACGTAATCATAAAGAAAAATTTTGGTACGTAAGCAAAAGATACAACGGCAAAGAAGGTAAATTCTTATCATATATATATACATATGTGTGAAATGGTACGTATGCAAATAAAATAAATTCTAATTAGGATATGTTAATGCAGACCAGATACTATATTAATGCTAGCCAGATGTTATGGTAATGCCGGCTAGATGATTTGAACACGATTATAAATTATTTTTCTTATATCGATATGTTTTACAATCCTTTTAAAAGTTCGGGTAGTTTAACTTTCTATGAAAAAACGGATGAATTAATGGTTTCACTTCGCTTTATAACATATTCTTTTGAATCCCATCACTTTTTTTTTGATTTGCTAATCTGTCATTACATCCAAGGTAAAAACAGGTTAATATCTATGATAAATCATGATTTGCAAACCTATCGTTAGGACAGATCATCTAATAAGTTATTAAAAATATTCAAAGCAATATTAAACTCAAAATTTAATAATTATATTTTATCAAATAGGAATTAGTGTTTAGAATCGGCTTTAATTTTCATATATTAACTTCAGTTTTAATCGGTTTTAACATATGAAAAATAAAACCGGTTCCAACTCTAGTAGGAATTTCATAGTTTTTGTCCTTGTTTTTTTTTTCTTTTATTTATTTATATTTATTATTATTACTTAATGTTAATTATAACGCTAAATAAATTTTTATTAATTTCATTTAAAAACAATGTATGGTTGTTTAGCCAGTAACGGTAATGATATAATAGCATTTATTTTTAAATATAATTTGTTAAATTTTTTGGGTTTGTTAAATGAATGTTTAGAGAAAATTTATTATTTATATAAAAACTGTTTAGCTTTTTTTATTATTTTGTAGCAACAATAGATCGATATACAAACTAAATCGGATCCAAACCGTGTAAATTTACAAATGCAAATATCACTCAATTAGAAATGGTTCATTGGATGGTTCTAAACAGATTAAGAAGCATAAAAAAATATTTCGATAAAAAAGTTACGTATTTAATTGCGAAATGTTTAGGTAAATTTATAAGAATTGTAAATTTCCTTATTCTATGTTTCAATTAGTTTCGGAATGTTCATTTGAGAACTTTATTATGAAAAAATCTCATAAAAAAGTTTTTTTTTTTTAAAAAAAAACAGTACCAGACTATGTGAGCTAAGAAACTTGCATCCGGAAATTTAATACGTAGCACTAATGATGTAAAGATTTAGATAAAGCAAGCTAATTCATGTATCTTCATTAATTTGTTTTTTAATTTATTATTTATTATATTAATTTTAACAGATATCGTGTTACATACAATCGAATAACCCTTATACGTATTGTTACATAGAGAACTTGAAAATTTAGCCGAAAGCAATTCTTGTGCATCACAGCTTTAAGAAATGATAAAACAGGTTTTGTTATAGTAATTAACGCTGAAAATTAAAGGTTATAAAGTTTGAATATGAGGATAATCAATTGACTCTTTAATGTCAGTTGACAAAGGAATCAAATTTCATCATGTATAATAAGAATTACAAAAATGCATGGAAATGTTTTGAGAAAAATTCAAAGCTTTGCAATTCATTATTGCAATATTGGCAAACGTATTATCTATTTAATGGATACTTTGTCAAACAGTATAAAGGACATATCAGCCAATTTTTCAAGAAAGTTGCCGATAATAATGATCATGATGAACATTATCAAGCTATTGTTGAAAAAAACGCAGATGAATATTTAGAATTAATTCCATAATATAGCAATCAAGATGTAACACTGGAATGTTAAACTATTTTAATAAGGCGCAAGCCATCTAAAGACAGCCAAAATCATTAAGAATCTTGCTACAGGTTCAATCTGCAAATATAAGATTTAGTTCTACGTAGATTAATTGAAATGTGGTACACTGTGGCTTATGTAACGATCATCATTAAATTTACATTTACGAAATGTCGTACGTAGATTTGACGTGTCGCACCATATAAAATTTTAAAGTTTTTTGGGCCTTTTTTGTTAGCTTTTTTTTTAAGGGTAGGTTAGGATTTAGGGATAGTATTATTAATAAAAAGTATGTGAAGTTTATACAGTACCGGAAGTACCGGACAACAAAAAACATCCAAACTTTATATATAGTATATATTTTTTATATATATTATAATTCGAACAATTTATCAAAAGAAATTTCTTTTTAACAATTTTGTAAAATAGGTTTTTATTTCTTTTATAATTTAAAACCTTATTTCAGCTTAAAGTTTATACGTATCGATATGTAATTGAAATAACGCCTAATATACAGTATAAAAAAAAATTAATTATATCAAAATCAACCAATTATAATTGGTTATGTAAAATTTAAATTTTGACGTTGGCTGATTTGTACTGTATGTCATCTGACACTACAGAAAAATGTTCCTATTTGTTCAATTGAGCATTGCTAAAACTGGTTAAGCTTGTTACACTTTCTAAAGATAAATAAATCAAATTAAAAATTGATAAAAAAAAATAAATCCAATTAAAAAATCATGGTTTAAATTTATGGATTGGATATACAGTATATATTAACTTTTTTATTTTCATGTCCTGCGATTTGATAAATTCCGCTTATTGCTACTGATTATCAGAGTCGGTTAAAGCCAAGTACATTCATATAATAATCTACATACTGCATAAATTGTATTCTTGATATCTATATAACTCACTAACCCTAATTGCATCAAAAAAGTAACCCTAACTGGTACCTGTTCTCCCATATTAATATTAACTCTAGTGACACAAACTTGGCGTGGTATGTAATACCAATGTAGTCATAATTGGAAGTGTTAATTGACATACCCAATAAAATTATGCAAAATTCGCACGTTATAGTACAAATTCTTAAAGTTGAACTAATTCATGCGCCTAATTATTTTAACGTGCAAAGATGCAAAAGTGACACGTGCAGAACTCAGTTTTTGTTTCTAAGAATCTTCGACTTAAATTTTTTCTCTCTTTTAATGAAATGTCCACACCGTCGAAATTGGATACATCTTACCCACCATTTTCAACGTTAAAGTTGCCTAGGTTACTGGCATCGGTTCCACCAACCTCGAAACATCCCGAGATTTCAACGCCAACTACTTTGTCACATAAAACATCAGCGTTTTCCACTATGAATGACGTTAATAATTCTTATCAACAAGCTATGCCCAATACAGAAACAACAGTGAAACCCTTACCAAATAAACGTGGGCGGAAACCCTTGACCACAATGCCGTCAGCTAAAAAACATTATCAGAACTTAAAAAATCAACGAGCATTTCGCCAGCGTCGAGCAACTTATGTTCAAGAGCTTGAAAGCAAGGCCGCAACATTTGAAAAGTTATATAACGAAGTTCTAAAGGAGAATAAAATTTTAAAAGAAAGATTGACGTTGTTGGAACGACGATGTTCAACTGGTTGTGAAGAAAATAACGGATGCACCAACGAACAAAAGTGCAAAAAGACATCAACTAATAAAAAAAGCATAAATTCATGTTGCAATGTGGCCAAACGCATGGATGATGATCAAGTAGTTGAAGACGTCGCGTCATGTGACGAAAAATCGACAATACAATCACCCCGAGAGTATGTAAAAACGTCATACCATAACCAAAATTTACCTTCATTAACGTCAGACACTTCACCGTCTATTGAATTTAATGATCAACCACAACATCAGAAAGTTGAAAGTCACTCATCTTTATCAATCGAAGATGTAGTAATGAAAGAACCTCTTTTTTGTACCACAAAGGAAGGTGACCTTTGTTTTTGTGATCCTTCTGATGAATCATTAAACAACGATGGCAGAAAATTGATTGTTCCTAAACAATTTGTAACACATTATGCAAATTCAATTTGCTCAACACTTCCTATCAGTGCGAGTCCATTCAACCAATCTAATGAATGGCAGCAGGAAAATAACTATTATGCACAATCGCCATCATCTACTTCTACCACATCAGCAGCTGATGAGAGTACTTCTCCTCGAAACCATCCGTTGGCTTTAAATTGGATATTACAAACACCGAGGGAGGAACCAAGTTGAACTGCTAAAATGTAACCAAATATATTCGTGTTGGACATAAAATTGAAAAATATGTACATTTTATTTATTTTTTTTTCGACTAAATCATCCTCCATCCTTTTAAGCAATTTTTTTTTTCTTTTTTTTTTTAAAAAAATAATAACTCTACATTCGGGTTAAATAGATAAATATATTTATGCGGAAAAGGAAATGTGTGTACGTGAGAGCATAGACTTATTTATTTTTCAAACCTTTGCCTTTTTGTACATTGTTTTTACATTGTTTAGTTTAATATTATTCCACACACGACATTACAACATTGATGACATCAATAATGATATAATGACAATAAGATTAAATCCACCCAAATAATCTACACATCAATGTGTATATATATAATGTATATGTATATTTGATTTTTTCGACAAACATTTTGTTTCTTTTGATTTATTGACAATTCTGCCAAGCAAACCTTCTTTTTCGTTTTTTCTTGTATAATAATTATTCTTCACCAAGGTTAAAAAAAAAAAAAAAGAAACTGTTGAATAATCAATAATTAATACGAACACAAAAATAAATATGTTTTATAAGTTCTTTGAATTTGGTAAAGAAATCAAATATCATAGTGACTCATCTGTATATGTCGTGTGTTGAACTTATTATTATTACTATATTATCTGTATTATGCGTTCGATAAAAACATGAATAACATACTAAAAAGATTGGGAAATTTTTTAACATCATACCTTTAGAGTACAAACTTAGTGATTACAGGATTATACAAGGTGAAACTCTTATTATTTTCTATGAAACATAATCATATCTATAGTCGCGAAATAACACCTAAATGAATATGGTCGGTTGACCGATTTTGTATTCATTCAGACAAGATATTCATTTTACAAAAAATTTAATTATATAAAAATATTAATAAAATTTCAATTTTAACATTTATCGTTGGTGGCGATATCACCACCACTTATTTCTTTTATCAAATTTAGGGTTAGAATGCAATTATAGACCAAGGTCAGGGTTCTGAACATCTCCCCAACATGTGTTAGTTAGTAGGCTTTTGATATATAATATTCCAATGCAGAGTGTCCAGCTATTTCTAGCATCTAAAATAGCACTAGCGATATCACGAAAACAGTCAAATTAAACTTCGATAAAAATTTTCTTATTTTATTTTATGATCGAATTAAAATAGAATAAATCTGGTTGAATTTGTTATCGCTATGTGGTTGTCGTAATATCGTTAGTGCTATTTTAGATGCTAGAAATAGCTGGACACTCTATCCTAATGATATCGGCAATATTCTAAAATTTTTAAATTTTGTGTAACAATTATGCAGATAAAATTTCAAATATTCAGATAGAGTTTAAGAAACTTTTTACTAAGAAAATTGAAAAAATGTTTTATACATTATTCAATTAAGCAATTTATGTAATTAGCGAAAGTTTGTATTCATTTATTTCATTTATACAGGTTTGACTGTATTTTAGATCTCTTATTAATTAATTAATTGATTTATAATAGGTATCACCCATACTGCAAGAGATCCAAATCTACTGATGCATATGTTACAAAGTTTACGTGTTATTCTGTACGCGCCAAAATATTGTATTTATGTTCTTAAAGATGTAATTTCTTAAGGCTCGAAATAAAGAATCGTGATATTTGCAAAACGTAGATCAACATTTCTGTTTGTTGATATATAAGTCTCTCTTTTACTTTTTTTTTATAATATTATTGCCAGATCTCGTAAATTTTATTCATTTGATGAACTATTTTTTGGCTTTTATTAATTCTTTAATGCTTTTATAAAATTTCATGAAGAGTATAAACACGATTACATATTAAGTACTGAAGTATATTTAAAATTAATCTCCATCGCTAACTTTTTTTTGTTTTATTTTCTTCTGTAGATCATTTTCTTGTTTTACTTTACTCGCTTTTCAAATTGCTGTGATCATGGAATCTACAAATTCTTTATTTTTTGCAAAAATAACAATATTCCTCATTGAATACTAATTTCCTAGTATAACATCCATCATCACATTAAATCTTTCCTTTGGTTGACAAACAATAAGAATTTTTTTTTTAATTTTATTTTTGTAAATCTTGATTGCTATTACTTTGCTATTTTTAATGTTCAAGGCTATGTTTGAATTCTACAAATCAATAGAATTCAAAAATAATCTTAAACATTTAAATTAAAAAAGAGATATCTCTGAAGCTGAAAAATAGGGATCTCGATTTAAAAACATAAACCCTACCAAAAGCCACTTATACATTTTTATTATCAAAACTAACCCTAAATTATAAGCAAACTATACAAAAAAAAGCGCATCCCAAAACAATTTGAAAAATTTCATATTATTTTAAAAAATATTTAAAATTTCCGTTTCCAGCTTCAGTCGCAACAATAATTTTTTAACCAATCATGGACTTGCATTTTAAAAATTCCCGATTCTCAGATTCTTGTGTAATGTGTACAAATCCTAAATCTCATGGGAAAAATCCCAAATCACAAACTGGACGAACCTTATTTGAGCTGTCATAATTCCAAAACTCTGGCCAATTTCCAAACCATGTTCCAAATCCCAAATACTATATTATGATTAGCAATATAGCCCAAACCTTTTCGGCACAAATTAAAAATTATGACAATTTTTGATCGGAATGTAGAATAATTTTATAATAGATATCATACAGTACATCGGAATGGAATTATTGTAAACTACATTAATCCTATTCCGATGTACGACTCGTACACCGGAATAGGATTATTGTAGTTTACAATAATTCCATTCCGATGTACTGTATCAAAAATTGTCATAATTGTTGATTTGTGCCGAAAAGGTTTGGGTTATTATTGCTAATCATATAATATAGTATTTGGGATTTGTACAGTTTTTTTTTCAAATGGGATTTTTAAGAATGACTGGACAATTCCATTTATCCAGGTTTGTCCATGGAAAAATCCCAAATCCCAAGAGTTTGTCTGGCAAGTATAGGTGTGTAATGCATAAAATTTACTGATCACAGTAATTTGAAAAGCGCAGTAAATTTTTGTCGACATTTCTGATAAAATTGGAGAATAAAGAATCAAAATACCTCCTAATGCTAATCACCGTGGCATCAATTTGGTACACATTTTCCGGATATTACAAGAAGCAACCATGATGCATGGGCCTATATTTTTCCGGATGTGCCAGTTTTGTCATCTATGCCACCTTTCGTCAGAGATGTTAATTAACGAAGGAGGTACTAGGTTTCACGTTTCGTCTATGCAAAACTTTAGGTTTCGCTTAACAACTATACTACCTCTAAGTTGGTATATTTTTGACTGAAGTAACTAATATAAAATTTATGAAGTAAAATGGATAAGAACAGAAATATATATATATATATTCATCATAAGTTATTCTTTCAACATGTTAAATTATCCTAAACTGATATTCCTTTTTGTTTTATGATACAATGTCAAATTATTTTTTATAATACACGACCACTATACCACCTTAGAACTACTATTTTTTAAATACCAATTTCTTGCAAATTGTAAAATACTACATATTAGAAGTTAACTCATCAAATTGTTTAAGTCTTTGATGCATCGAAACTCTGGTATTTTTTTTCTATCAGTCCTTTTCTAAATGCACGCCTTTGTAACCACACTTTAACAGGAGTGCATTTGTAGAAGTTCAGTATATAGTTGGGTGTGCACTTATAGAGAGTCCACTTAATGTTGTTAGTCGAAATACCCTATTAAGTCAAATATTTAGACAATTTTGTGTCAAAATTCTAAATTTGACTAAATGTCTAAATTAATGATAGAGAAGGCTTGTACATTAAAGTACCTTATTTTTAAATTGATAGTAGTTCAGATCCAAGTTATAAACTTTTAGCATAGTGAGTACTGTGAAAAAAAAAACACGTATAAAATGTGAGAAAATTTTCAAGTAGGTATCATTTAGAAAAGTTTATATAATTAAACCTGAGCAAGAAACCGTTTTTGAATCAAATTTATTTTAAGTATATAGTTTGAAATCCACAAAAAAACATAAATAAGTTTATATATATATTTTGTTAATTTAGACACTTCGACATTATTTAGACATTTTGACATTATCTAGACATTTCGACATAATTTAGAATTTCGGCATCATTTCGGAATTTCAGCAGATTAATCATCAAATGTCGAAATATTTTTACAGCCTCAAACCAATTTCGGCTAACAACATTAGGTGAATTTAGAAAGATCTGACTGTATGTAAAAAAAAAAATTCATACTTTTTTTTCAAAACTTTTTCGGTGCCGAAGCCCAGACTACAAGTTTAGGTTAAAGTTATAGTTTAGGAATTAATCTTTTAATCAACCTTATAATTTAGGGTTTCGATAATTGTCATCTGTCAATAAAAAATTTCATAACGCCAAAGACAAGAAATAAATGGTTTAGTTTCAATTTTTTTTTACACATGTGAGTGTTAAAGGGAAGTATAGATGACGATAATGGCGATAATGAATGAACAATATCGTTGAATTAACCAATAAATAAATAAGAATCTATGTGTTACTGGCATCATTATCATCGCTGCCATACATATTAATAAATTGTATAGCAGTATTTGTAAATGTATTAAGATTTATAGATTTTCTAATAGTCTTAAAGAATTGCAAATAATGGAATAAATTATGACTATTAAATAGAAAATAAAATATTTGTTAAATGTATTTTTTTATCAAGGTTGCAAATAAAAACTCATTTAATTAAACAAGAACTCACAAACCTCATTAATAATACAGTGGCAAGCATTTCATGAGTTTTTAATAAATGATGAATGTATGCTCTTTTATGATTTTGGCATGTATAACATTTACATTCATCTAAAATTGGTTTAAAATCTGTTCGATATTTATCATCCCAAAGATTTATGAATTTTTCTCGTCTATGTTGAATCCCATCTTCAATTAACAAGAATGTAAGTGCATGTCCTAAAGATGTCATATCTGATGGATAACTCGTATTAAATATATCAATTCCCTCGAAAATGCCAAGAAGAACATACTCTAAAAGAAATCAAAATGATTGATTAATGAATTATGTATGTATAATTAATAAAATTTAAATATTAATAATAATCAAACCTGGAGCCCCGAGACTATATGCTACACGAGGCTTATTTCTTGGTAGATATTTGAGAGAAATTTTCATTAAATCCAAACGTTCTTTCGAGGTCATGTCTAAATCAAACCCATTTAACACAAAGCCTATATTATCAGAAGGACATTATTGATTGCAATTTTATACAAAAAAAAGATATATTTTTTTTATTTTAATTGATACATAGATGTCACTCACCAGCTACATTTCTATTTGCTGTCTCCTTAGCAGATCTCTCTCTCTCTTCATGTTTATCATACCCAGTTACAACTCCAAATACTTGAATCCCTTCCTTTAGTAATTACCACGTGCGTTATTAACCATTTAAACATTTAATAATAATAAAAAAACGAGAGATCTATTATGAATATACCTTGGTATGTTCCAAAGTTTCGTCTAGCCAATTTAATGTTCTATCGACCGATTTTTTAACCCTTTTCAAACCTGGATTCTTGACAGTTATTAAATCTGTCATGCTAGCGAATATATCAGGATTATATATATTCATGTATCTTATATATTCCTCTAGGGTAACCTTTGAAAACAATTTAAGATTTGTTGTTAGTGAAATTTAAATTAATTAATTGTCCAAAAAAAAAAAATCAAATCACCTTACTTTACGACATCCATGACTAGTAACAACCGGAACATATTTATCAGTACCGAACGAAATATTTTGTAATTTTTCCGAGTCTCGAACATCAAAAAACAATGGATACTCTTCAAGATTTAAAAATTTATGTATTCCACCCATAAAATAAGTTGAAGATGGAGGTTGTACCTCAAGGCTAAAATTTTAAAATTGGAAATAAGTACCATGCCATGAAAAATTCTTTATTTCAAAGAAAAAGAAAATGTTGATATATACAAATGCTCAAGAGTTATTCCAAATGCATCTGCTGGAATAGTTTGTAAATTATCTGGAGTTAAATGTGGTACGGATCCTCTGATTGTATATACGAAACAATTTGGAGTATCCAAGATTTTTTCATGTTTATTTCTCGAAAAAATTATTTTACCCAAACGAAATCGTGGATCGGTAATTTTTAATAAATTGAAGGAAAACCCGGACATTTCAAAATTGGGATTAAATTGTAAAAAGTCGTTAATTTATGTATAATCATTTTATTGTGTGACAAGCGTCGTTAAATTAGATTGAGCAAATCAATGAATGAAAAAACCGAATAATTTGTATATAAAAAAAAAAAAAAAAAAGGAAATGATGCTAAATGTCAATAATACAATGATAAAAAAAAAAAAAGTTATCAAGTATACAAAGATTTATAAAATAAATATTTATCTTATTAACAAATAATTCTCATACTTAACGATTATAACAACACAACACTCGAAATAACGTCTTTTGCTTCTTGTAAACCTTTTTCCGAGATGTTAGTATTTACTTCACTGATCTTTAACCGTCTCAACCCTCCAACTTGTCGTGCATATTTTGTGATAGCTTCTAAAACTCTATCGTCCAATAAATAATTATATAACTCGATCGTGTATAAAGCAACACCACAATTTCCATATTCTTCAAAAAATATTTGTAATCCTTCATTGACAATTCCAAGATCCATTCCCAAGTGTAATAAAGATTTTGGAAGTGAAGTAGCTAATTTTTTCATAAAAACAGGAGTTAATGCAGAACTACCATATTTCGATTCTAAATAAAGAAATTCAAGTTTCGAAGAAGCCAATAAAGGAAGAAGTGTTTCAAATGAAGTTGTATATAAAGTTAAAGAAAGTTTTATAATATTTGGACAATTATGTTGAATTTCTTCTATTAATTCATCAGTAGAATCTCCTAATATGAGTTCTCTTAAATTCTTATTTGCCATACGAAGAATTATTGTCATTGTTAAACTAAACACTGAAGATTTTGAATAATTCTCACAGCAAGAGAATTTTTCTAATTTTATTTCTTCTGTATTTGTAGAGGTGAAAGGAATATATAAAGGAGTGTATCCTTCTTCAACAAAAAAATCCAAGATTTCTAAAGATTTTAAAGATCTACAAGATTTTAAAAAATCTAAAAAAATAGTGAAATTTCTAAACCTTTTAATTCCAAGATATTTTAGAGAATTCGATTGTGATTTTAAAGCAGTATAAATCCATTGGAATGTTGATGGATTTTGAAATTCCCAAATAGTAATTTCTTCAAGATAACTTTGATTTTCGATTAATCTAAAAATATGCCTTAAAATTTCAAGTTGACAGTCTTGAAAATCATTAACAATAGAAATTTGATTTAAATTCTTGGAATGTTTTGATATGTGAGCAACAAGTTTTATATATCCTTGATAAGTTTCTAGAGCATCTTTCCTTTGAAGAAATAAATCTATTTTTGAAAGTGATGAAAATTTTTGATTTATATTATCAATGTTGGGGAATAGAGTAATGTCAAAGAATAAACGCATTATAGGATTATTTATTACTAAATGATGAAGAATGTCAGTGGATTGAATTAGAAAATTTAATAATATTTGAACCGTAAAGGCTATTAATTGATAACTCTCAATATTGACAGTGGTAAGATATTGCTTTACTCCATTCTGAAAATTTGATAAATCTAATTTTCGTAAATATTTTGGATAATTAAATAATAATTTATCCTGATCCGAATAAGATTTTGTCTTATCCATTGCATTAAGAAATGATCTTTTGGTAGGTATATTCGGTAGAATTCTCTTGTTTTTAGATATAAGCATTTGTTTCTCAGCGATGGGAAGACATGAAATATAAGTTTGAATGATCATGGAAAATCTTTTAACATTGATATGATATTCAAATGGTCTACTCCAAAGTAATCCTATCGTTAGTTTACACCATAACCTATTTACTAATAAGCATGAAAATAATGATGAACGATGATCCACTAAATGCTGAATTATTTCTTCAAGACAATCGAAGGTTAGTGACGATGGAATATAAAGGTTTGTCATTTTTTTGCCTTTAACGGTAAAGAAGTAAAATTGAACAATTATTTTTATACATATACGTACGTACGTACGTATTAATATTATCGTTACGTAGTACACAAAACGGTTACCCCCTATTATTAATGCTAAACTGAATTACAAATTTCGTCATTAGCATACAATATTTGACGTTATATGATTAACATTATTTAATTAAGTGTATATGCAATGATTTTGAAAGTAATAAATCTATTCGTAAAAATGATCTTGGTTATATATTGGTACGTATACCTATATTTATAGCTACCCTAGTAGGACCGCGAAAGATGTACCAATCAAATCTTTTCGGATGTGTAACGTGACAATCACGCTTTTTGGAGAAAGCGCCAATAACTCAAAGTTGTGTTTATGAAATTACTTTCTGCGTTCTAACAAAAAAAAAGAAATTCCTTGCGAAACTCTGATGTAAACTAAGTCTTATCGTGATCATGACTCTTATCGTTTATTATTTTAAACAATTGGCACATGATTATTTGATGAGATCGATCATATGAAAAGATTTGATTGGTGCATCTCTCATTAGGTTATTCGTCAATTATGTAAATCAAACTATGCGAGATTAGTAAACTTATTAGTAACCGATTTTTTTAGATTCCAATATAGTAATCATAGTCTATCACTTGATTGATATTAAAGAATGATTCTTCAACCATTTTTAGGTGTGAAAAACGAATTACATTATTTTTTTACATATATCAATTCATAAATATTGTCTCCTCATATGGAATTAGGTCTTAGCTAGAGACACCAAATTTCGGTTATACCCTAATAATTTAAAACTATACCTTAAATAATTTTAAGGATATAATGATTATGCGTCAAACCCATCCGTTTCCTATTTATTGGTTAGAACTAGGGTGTGTGGCACAGTGGTCATAGGAATGCCACCGTGGCTTCCAATGGATTATTAGTAGCTAACCCTAACCCACAAATCGTTTTCGACACGTGACCACGCCACATCACGTGAAAAATATCGATTATAAGGAAAAGTCTCCAGACACTTACCAACCATTTAGGGTGTCCAGGATTATGCGATTGCATAATATGCGCACAATTTACCATTTTTCGCATCCACAAATGCTTCGCATAATCGAGCAAAAAAAAGCATCCTGGTCATGTGGCTCAAACATGATTGGTAAATCTGATATATAAATGACAATGAACATAAATATGACAATGATTGTTTCTTGGATATCCAAGATTTTAATAATGAAAAAAAAATTTTTTTTTATAAAACGGTTATAAATGTTTGCTTTAATTCTAAATTTTTAATAAAAAAAAAAAGCTGAACGTTCAGTTAAGAAAACATGGTTACAACCACAAAACGGCTTTATAGGAATCCATCATATAAAGATGACTTTATGCAGACGAAGGGAAACTGTTTTGTCAGTTTTGTCAGACCACTGGGATCATAAAAAAAAAACTGTAATAGATAAACAATTGACACCATCTACCCATGAATCAAAAAATATTCTGTACTTAAAAAACTTTAAAAAACTTCTGTTCAATATGCAATTACTGTTTTTAATAAGTCTTATGTTAAAAAAGAACAATTTGTTTTTAAATTTATTAAAATATTAATTAAAGCTGATATATCTTTTAAAAAAACATTGCAAATATAGTATATAATTTTTTTTAGTTAATAATAAGTATAATTAAATTTTTACTGTAATTTTTATTTTTAATAGGTGGTACAATTTCTAGTGTTAATCAAGTTTGTGAAAAGTACTTTTCAATTTTATTTTAAAAGAAGAAAAAATAATTTAAAAATCTATTAATTAGAAAAATTTTACATTATAGTAAAACTGTAATAAACATTTTATTTAACTATTTTGATTATACTTATCTGATTAAAATAAATTACTTGTAGGTTATTAATAAAAGCATTATTTTATAACTTGTTATTTTAAAATTATCTTATTATAAAATTACTTTTGACAATATAATTTTATTTATTACTAATAATGTTTTTTATATATTAGTTTTATTTAATGTTCTTTTTTTTTAATGCCTCAAATTAGACACAATATTTGGTTTACTTATATACTTAATTTAATAGAAAAAACCTAAATCAAATATAAAAATTTTAAGTTTCTTAATGTTGTTACTAGTTAATTTAAATAATTTTTATATATTCTACAACTAAAAAATAATATTAAATTTTATTTTTACTTTAAATAGTTATTTTAAGTTTATGTTTTTGCTATTATCTGTAAAAACTATATAGAACTTGCGATTTAATTTTGCTTTTTAAATCTGTAATTATTTTATATTTTTAGTTAATTTTTATTTTAAAAAATCTGAAATAAATAAAAATAATGTTATAAGTTTAAAATTAGTAAAAAGTTTTTAAAAATCAGGATAATTTATTTTGCTTGCAATTTATTTTTTTATTTTATTATTTATAATATATAGTTGTAAGTAATAACACACCTATTTGTATATATTACAATTTAATTTTTTACTAAATAAATTATAAATTTATTAAATATATATAGATTAGTTAATAGACTTGAATTTTTCAAAATTCAGAATATATCAGTAGCATTATTTGTCATTAACAAATTAGAGCAAGTATATACTTATCAAAATTTAAATTATTAAACATTTTTGAAATTAAATAAAATATTAGATTTTTGCTAAACATACCAATATAATATATTATTATATGATGTAATTTTTTAAAAAAAATTTTAATTAATATATAAAAAATTTAATAAGCATATTAATAATCATTTTGTATTTTAAATTTTTAAAGCAATTTATTGTTTTGATTTCTGTTATATGCAAATACAAATTGATTATTACAAAATTACATTATATAAGTTAATTAAAGAATTAAAAACAATTTTATTAGTAAATAAATAATTCATTTAAACATATGAAGGTAAGTTAATTGAAAAGAAACAAATTATTTTTAGTAAAATTTTTTAAATTTTTTAATTTAAATAACTTAACAACATTTAATTAAATTAGTTAAAAATTTTATTTTAATCTTAAAATTATATAAAACTAAAATAAAAAAAATTTATCAAATTTAATAAAATAGTTGTAAAGATATTTAAGCTTAAAGTCAAAAAAATTTATAAAGTA